GTCGTTCGTGGCGTCTGGCAAACCAATCACGTTGTTCAAGTGTGTGCAGATCCGCCTATCGACGCCTCATATTTCAGATGTGTTCATTGGTGGATTATTGCTGAGACGCCTGCTTCGCATGTTAGAAACAGATTCCGGTGCTGCACTGCTGGTGAGATCTCGTAGAAGCGAAAGTTTAGTCTTTAGTGTGAACTCACCGGAACAACTGGGCCAGAACAGTAGGATGGCCGTTCAACAAGCTGCACAACCACCTACAAGGGATCCAGAGTGAAAAGACCGATAACTTCTGTACGCCTGTAGGGAAACATCCACTAGTCAAAAGGTATGCGCGATCCACTGGTGTAGTACTAAAGCTCTCTTCCATGAGACAGCCAGAACCTGCATACGCATGTCAGTGCACTGATCGTGTCTCCGCAGTCGCTCTGTCACTACAAATCTGACTCAATGGGAGCGCAAATGGTCGCTTCGTTTATACTGAGAATATGAGAACCGGAATTTAGAAAGCGCTTCAACTGAGTTGAGTTGTGTTACAGTATGGTTTCAGTAAACACTTTTCGAAAAAAGTTACAATCAAGAAAAATAATCGCTCCGCCATTGGCCTCAACTTCCAACTTGTAATGAGCACAGGTGCACTAGGTGTTGAGATTCGACAGAAGCCAATTTGCACGAATTGTTTACCACAACAAAAGTGTCATCAACGTTTCTCGGTCAAACCCATGAATGATTGAGTTTTTGCATTAAGTAACGTAACCACTGTTTCGGACAATGAGGATTAATGCACCTCCACCAGTATGTTGTTGAAATCGGTTTTCAGAGGTGAATACAGTGACTGGAAAATAGAATTTCAAATCCCCAGTAAGCCCCGCACTATGATGGAAATAAGGCTAGGAGGCAGCAATTCCTCCGCTTCTAGGAAGCGCTCGATACAACATAGGCCATCCACGACGCGCAAACCGGTATAAACCAAAGAAACAGGAAGAATGACAACGTCACATCATCATCATTATCATCAAGTACTAATTGCTTGGCCCTCCGGACAGTCCCATGAGAACGGAAAACTTGATTGGATATCTTGCACTGAAGTGGCTGATGCATGTTTGGACCATCTGAACCGACAGAACAAGTGGAGGTCGCATGTTCTCGGCAGTCCGTAGTCGACAGCAGACCGGACTCAGATCTCACTTGCATCAGAGTGCCTGTCCAAGGCTGTTATTGGACTGGGACTTCCTAAGGTCACAGTCAGTGACTTGTGTTTGCTTTCCATTGTGAGCTGTCTGCGTATTTATGACACTTTTATGCGCGGCACATGGAGTTGGACGTACATTTTTGCCATTTATTCTCACACCAGACCCAGTATGACGGACACTTTGTGCCTAAGGTGCGAGTCATGATTGTGTTGGCGCTTACCGCGCCTTGAAGAGCATTCAACATTGTTTACCATTTTCATGAAGGAAACTACTCACAAGGTTGCTGAAAACTCTTCGGTTGTTGATCTTTAGACGCGTGTATCCATATCGAAATTTTTACGTACGTTGGGATTCATCTCATCTGACTGGAACTGTTGGTGGCATGAATTCTCTCATATTCTCCTGTTACCCTTTCGAATTCGTCGCTTGCATTTACTTTTTACGTTTGTGACCATGCTCTTCAAAAGTAAATGATAATAGTACTAGTGCCAACAGGTTTGCTTCGCATTTGCGATTCCAGAGGTTTGATCCCCGGTACGAACGAAATGTACTAATAAGGGCAGAATCCGAGTTCAGTTCCTCTCCGCTTTGGCGTCAAATAACCAGAAACATGGTGTCAAGAAAGGAGAAGGGTTATCCGATTGAAAGTGATGTGAGTGCGGTTCATAAGTATTATAACAGCTTGATATAGGGTCAGTGGATTAGTCCATGGAAGGGAGAGGCACTTTTACGTTAGAAGGGTCGAATTCCGCCTCAAAACGAGAGGAAATTCGTCTAACAAATGGTGCAAGTACAAGCATTTGGTAGACAGTTTTCTGAGCCTGAAGGCAGATTTCCCATACCCCTTGATAAATTCGTACAAATTCCGTTCGCTTCAGATCGCTTACTGTTCAACACCAGTTTGTATCCGAAAATACGGTTGGTAGGCACAGCGTACAATGACACATTGACAATGCCACAAGTGCAACCACAAGGGAACTAACCGAGTTGCTTCCAGCCCATGTTAAAAGTGGTCGAAGGATGTTGGGCGAAAACTGTGGACGCCATTTGTTGTGCTGGGTATAGCAAACATTGGTTACTGCACAAATGGAAGCTCTTTCAATGGTGCCTGGGTGGAAATCTTCAGGAACCACCTCAGGTTTCATCGATGTAACAGTGAAACTGGTTCGATTGTTACCTAGTGCCGTTTCTTGCGAAGGCTGTGAGTGAAGGGATGCCACGTAAAACGGGACCTGAGAAGTGAATAGTAGGCAAAAACGATGTTGAAAACCAGCTTCCTGTTCCAATTTCTCCAATTCCTTTCCAGTTGGAACAACACATACGATGCAACCATCATCATCCCTTGAACAAGGGTTTTTGGTTTCTCCATTTTAAAAAAACCTTCAAGTAGGACATAAGGTGGACGGAAACTCAAGGACTGCGCCTACTTGATGAGCCACAAGAATGGCGAAACCGGTCGTGGGCTGTCCAAGAGTTTTCAGCAACCTTGTGAGTAGTTTCCTTTATGAAAAAAATCTCCTTTCTTCTAATCCAGCCAAAAATCATTTGGACGGTCAACTGGGAGCCATAAATTTGTTTTCTTCTATCGTATTTGACCGTCGTTTACCAATTAGAGCAACGATGCAATTCACTTGCGCACGACTTTCGTTTTAACAGTCGTCCTCCTGTCCTGTCGCAGTTATTCTCATGAGTTCACACCAAAGAATGGAGACATCGGAATAACGTTTCGAGCCCATCATCAGTGCATACCCTTAGCCTCGCTAGGGTTTGAACTTCGTACATCTGATATGTGAGGCGAGTGTGCTACCAGTACTCCAATAATACCTGAATGATCACGTTTGAGCAGGCGAATGCCTTCACATTTGAGCGATGCGATTGTTCGGACCGACGCCTCGAACGACGACCCAGTAACTGTCCCGGTTATGTTGATCGACTGTCACACCTGTAAGGATTTTTCAGTCAGGCAGCGCTGCACACACTTGAAACCTGCTGAATAATTTCTTGTCCAGGATATTCCAACATATGCACTGCTGATGAGTTCATTGCTTTCCCCCAGAATGTTTGCCCCAGGACGAGAGGAGAACTGCTCAAACAAGGATGATGTGAATGTGACTTCTACAAATCCCGCAAACACTTCCGACTAATTGATAAGTTAGGACCCAGAAACCAGATGGACGGAATTCATCGTTGTTCACATTATGGTAAGTCACCTCGAAATGAGTTCGAAGGAGTTGGGTGACTTTGGGCGCCATGACAGTAGAAACACTGTTGCGTGCACAGTGAATACAAGAACTGATACTTTCTGACGTCTTCAATACCGGATGCAGCTTTGTGAGGGAGCTAAAGACTCACATTTAGATATTACCAAAGCGCTAATCTATGGAATGAGGCTTGTTGAAGGAAGTAGGATGCACGCGAAACATCGCGTTAAGCGTGACGCAGACAAAACCGCTTGTCCAAAAGGTTGACATGCTGTTACCAGAGGGGCGCGCATAAATGTGGCTTGTCCCATCCTCAAAGAATTCAGTGATAAAACAATTTAGGAACCAAGACCACTCCCGGAGAAATGCTTTATTGTTACGGTCATGGGGAATGGGGGATAGTCTATCGACCGTATAGACAACTACCGATTTACGTCCCTCGAATTTCGATAATACTGAAGCAATTCACTGAAGCTATGCTATCAGTATTATACTCCTCTTCTTAACACGCGCAAAACTGTACATCATTTCGTTAGACAGTCACCACTTTGAGTATACCATCTGGAATGACAACAGAGATACTCTTCCGGATGACTCTTTCTACAGCACTCCAATGAAATGACTTTCAACTTTTCAAACACCAAAAGACAAGTTACAACCAAAGAGGTATCCCCACGTTGCTTCCAGAACCCCAAATAAGGCCAAAGAAAGTTAGAACCGCGTTCCCACAACTCATGAAAAATTTATGAACCTCGACTGTAGACACAAGTCGCCAAAATATGGTCCGTTTGGATTTTAAAGGTACAAGCAATGCACGCGAAACCGGTTAAGCACGTGAAGCAACCACGCATGCCGGGGGGTGGGCGGTCGTAAGCGACAGTGTGGTCTCAGTCTCTTCAAGTTTATTTCACTTGTAAGCAGTTGTAAACAGACCAATTTCTGTCTGCTATTGACGTGAACTTTCTAGTAAGGTGAACAAGCATACCAAACCTTAAAAGAGATCACCTTTGATCAGTCGTTTAGAGCGGTCTATCCTAATCAGGGAAGTTCAGTGAGATTGCTCCCTCTGGAGAAACTAGGGGCAGGGATTAACCGGAGATGGTCACTTTCGATACGTAGTCTCTTTTAGGAAGGATTCAACTGTTAGAAGAACCTACAAAGGACCAATCACCAGAGCTCTCTCTCTCGCTCTAGAGGGGTGGGACTGCGGTTATATGCGGATGAATACCCTGTTATAGCATCCCAAATAGCCTAAAAGAACAATCTTGCCTGTTTGCCACTGGTCACCTCTCTAACTACTGCCGAAATCCACATAAGCCTGGTGCAGATTTTTTTTGCACCCGAGTTTCAAATGGAAGGAATTTTGCGCCACGGGTACAGTCAGAGTTGTCTCTTTGGTAGTTTTCTCTCGAAAGATATGTGGTTCAAGCCACGTCTCACGGAGTGAAGTGGTCTGTCTTGGTAGAGCCCTCTATGTGTGGTCGTCAGTTGCCCGCTTTGCACACCTTGGAAGCACCTCGACTGCTTCTCCGAGTGTGAACAGGAAGAGGAGGAACCTCATACGGCGAAACCAAGTGAGCTAGGCAGATCTGTTCACCGATGTTTGCAACAGATAACGGCGAAACCAAGTGAGCTAGGCAGATCTGTTTGTTCACCGATGTTTGCAGCAGACAACATTAACCATCGTCGGTTACAATATGAAAGTCGGAGGGTGTATCTACATGCACCATCAAACGTGAAGGCCATAGTACACCACAGTGTACGTAAGTGTCCCAAATGTCACTGAACTGAGGAGGTGAGGGCTGAGTCTATCAACCAAAATTTTGTCAGAGATAGCTAGTCGACGGTTGAGCATGATTCAGCGGTCAGATGCTCGGCACGGCAGCCTGGTAGGTCTAGACCCAAATTCAGCGGTCAGATGCTCGGCACGGCAGCATGGTAGGTCTAGACCTGGTGATCCTAGCTCAGCTGGGGCCCAGTAAGTATGGATTTCGAGCTCCGAGACGCAAATGGAAAAAGTCAGCTGGGCAGCATGGCGCGAAATCACGTGACCTGCATTGGTACCAATCAATCGACCTAGTTTAAGGCGGTAGCGAGGTCAAAAAGCGTAAACTACTAGCGAAAAGTGAAAAAAATTAAGCCAACAAAGAGGTCAGGAACATTCAGTAAGCTAAAGCTTGTCTTACAGGGTTTGTTTGCTTAAAGCCATGAAACTGGGAAAAAACTTACCGGGCAATCAAATTGTCTTTACCTGTGGTTTAAAATGTACCCGAAAAGTCAAAGAATAGCATGTGCTTTCTTTGTGGTTTTTTCGAAAGTTTGTCCCCGATATTACAGCTAAACCAGTGAGAAACAGACCACAATCTAGTGGTACATCAAGTCCTTGGGAAGTAAATGTACAGGCAACTGATTTGGTCCGAAAAATTGTTCGAATCTTTATTGTTATGTCTGCTGATTCGCCAATCTGTAATATCTGGTTGCTGACCCGCTCCAGTGCCTAGTGCCGAAAAAAGGCTCACAGAAGGGAACACAACAGCTGTATTCCGAACAAGCGAGTGAGTTAGAGTGCAAGAGCGTGAGTACGCGGGAGGGCGAAGATCCAACAGTCTCAAGCTAGTTACTGGGGGGACACTGTCGGAAGCACGTGGTCTTACTTTGGTACGAGGCTGTGACGCGCTACATATTGCGGGGGTGTTGTCTGATCTTGATCAACGTTGACTCTCGCTGTCTGGGTTTGATATATGGCTGTGACGCGCTGCATATTGAGGGCGTGTTGTCTGTCCAGTCAACATCTAGAGGAGCTGAGAGTCTCAGTAAATTTCGGGCACTCAGAGGTTGCAGGAAGGAATCTGACCTTCCTGATATTTATACAATTGATTTGGTGTGTGTGTATACTGAGGGAGTACCAATCACGTGCGTCAGTTGTTCCAAGGCACCCAGACCTTAGAATACTCTACGCACCATGGAATGGTTGCATTGGAAAGCTGTACGTATAAAAGTTTTGGATATAACGATGAGATGGGACCTACCGTTGACTCCGGTTCCCCTGTGCATGGTCTACCAGAAAAGTAGATCTTGAAGTCATCGCTCGTCAATGCTACGTTGACTCCGGTTCCCCTGTGCATGGTCTTGAAGTCATCGCTCTTCAATGCTGCATGCTGCTTCTTTCCACCCCGACTGACTGCTCCGCTTGCATCTTCATACTCCTCAAGACTTCCTCCACAGCCTTTCGTCTGAAACGGCAGTGGTATATTTACTGTCGCTGTAGTATGTGCACCGTGGAAGCGCAGTTGAACAGTGATTCTTCAAAGGCGGGGAGTCAGGACAATTTCTGCGGATAGGAAATAGCAAGAAACCTCATAAACTGAAGTCTAGTAAGCAAGGTTGAATTAAACTATACTTACACAGAAACCAATCAGTGTACTCCACATCAGTTGTCATGCAATCCAAACCGAAGCGCTCACCGGGAGACGATCTTCAGGCAACCAAAGAAGTGGGAAGTTTCAGTTCAGTACAAAATCTCCAATTAAACTTGGCATGCGACGTTTTAGTTGTTCTCTGGAGAGTGATCAGAGCGTGTCGCACTCTCACGTTTACAAAGTTCGGTTGACCACAGGGTGATTATGTATTAAGATTGGATAGGTTGTCCGTTGTGTAGAGCAATTTCGCCTTTAGAGGCCCCGGTTAGAGACAATAAAAGCCATCAAACCATAGTGACTGATTTTCCAACACCCGATGTCAGTCTATTCACCCTCGAGCGACCCGTGCGCAAACAGCCTCGTTTCACGTTCGTCCTGGTCACTTGAAAACTTGCCAAGATAAGCATATTATTCTACCAATGCAGTGGCCCTCTTGACCGCCCACCTGTCCAACTATGGTGAGTTATCAGTCGTGAAGTTATAGGATAAGGTGAGGCGAACGCTATCGATCTGAAACTGCTTTCACAGACAGCTGATTGTAAGGCACCTAACACCCGCACCGATGTGTCTCGGTGCTCAGCGGATCGACGCACGTATCAGTAACAGGTGAATAAGTCCAGGCGATCACCCGATTGCATAACGTCCCCCCAATCAGTTTCATCGCTCTCCTGATTAGTTTCGCCACTGTTCCGCATAATTTCGCCGCGGTGCAGTGAGTCAGCTCATCTCAATACGGCCTCGTGCACCGGGTGGAGGAAAGACACACTGGCTGGAGAAAGTACAATTTACCAACATGTTTCATGAGCTTATAAGTACAGCTGACACAAGTCGCAGCAAGTGTGAATACGAGCATGCCATGAGCATGCACGGAGCGACGTTGAGTTGCTTGAGGCCTCTAAGACATGTCTGGTTGAGAACTGGCTCTGTGGAAGGTTTGACTCAACTGCCTGCATGAGATTAGACAGAATGTCAACTGCAGGGTGGCGATCGGACCGAGGAAAATTCATGATGCAAAAATGAGAAAAATAACAAAAACTCGGAACTAGGCCCACCATATTTGAGCTCACTTCGTTTCGGTTTTTCAACCGTAGACCGTATGTTGGTTTGGACCGCCAATGCATTTGGATACAGGATGTTACATTGATCATGACCATATTAGTGCATTGTTGATGATGGCCATAATACAAATCAGAAGGTAAATTCACTAATAAAAGTTTTTAGTATGGTTGACAGTGGTGGGTTGCAACACGTTTAAGGTGGAAATCCGGACGGCGGGAACGTGTTTTTCTCCGCAGTTAGACTGCTACACCTACTCCATGGTTGTCCGTGGACTAGTGGAGAGGTTGACGTCCTGCTCCCTGCGCGCGTGCGAGTCTGTGCGTGCTGACTGTGTTCGGTTTCCCTATATGTAGGTCCGTTTGCGCGTACTTGGGCGCGACAGCATATGAGTAGTTGCTACGCTCACTAGACGAAACAGACAATCGATGTCCGATGCGTCAGCTTAATGTGTCGTGGCTTGAGTATGAAAAAAGACAAGTCTCGTGATCCAGTGAGCGACTGTGAGCTGAACAGTCAAGTATGTGGGTGACCGAGTTAGCTACAACCGTTGTCATACCTGAGCATGTCGATAGGAGTGAATGTCATGCCATCGATTTTCGAAGCTTACTCAAATCTTACTTGGAGGCACCAATGAAAGTAGGCTAAATGACTGTTGTTTAGCTTGCGTCACTCTCACCAGAAGAATGAGTGCAAAGTGTGTTCATTCGTTCCCCACCCCGCCCTTTGATGGACAACATGTAAAATTAGGGCCACTATCTCTACCCATATAGCATTCAGTGAACTAACATATCAAATAATATTTTCGTAGACTCAGTTTGTTTACGAAATACAGGGGAATCACCATTCAGGGAACCGAATTCCCAGCAGAGGATCTCTATTTATTGGAAGATCGTGGTGAGTTTCATTCGGACTAGCTGCGTTTTATTCGGTCGAAACTTTGTGCTTTCGTTTCGCCTTGTAGTCTCATATTTATGACATACCGAATGACTGAACGTGGCAAATGCAGACCGATCGAGGAAATCATAACAAAATGGGGAAATTTCGCATGTGTACAGCCTCCTGAGATTGGTGAATGTGTTCCAACGAACCAAGTGTAGAGACCTCTGCGATGATGTCTTATTCACATCCGATCAACTTGATCTTCAGACGAGCGACAACCACCAGACCGTGTATGCACGCTGACTCCATGACATGAAATGTGCTACTCGATCGATCTTCAAAAGAGGCAGCAGATAGAACGGTGGAAACCATTCCTATTGGTTAGTATCAGTCGCTCAATCACTGTAGGGGGGACAGTTTTTTTTCGGCAAATGGGTAGTTGGCCTCTCAGCATCACTGAAAACAGTGGACTTGCGTGAAATCGGTGGTCTTTGTCGTCACGTTCGCTTGGTTTTACTGAATTCATTTGGAATTGGACTTTCCCGTGTACATAGGCACACGAAATAGGTATTTCTTCGGCTCTAAATAGTCTATTTTCCCATTTCCAGTGTTTCACGAAGTTTAAATCGACCAGGTTTCTAGCGCCGCTGACGGACGAGCCCCCATGATGTACCGTTCATAGCTCTAGGGCGGTAGTCGCCATACTCCTTGTTTCTCACCTATGCCGCAGCGGTGACCCGGTTGAAGTAGCTGTTCTGGCTTGTCAACACGGTGACGTTGGTCGCAATGTGTGCACGGGAAGTGCATCGTGCAGCATAGTTACTACGGCACCCCTCCATGCTCAGTTGTCATGCCGACCAAGGCGTGCGAACGTCAAAGGTTGCGAATCTGGCGCTCTGTTCACATGCCCATGTCGGGAACATCTGGGGTGAGATTTCACACACCCCACCCACACAAACTTAGTACCGTAACTAAAGTTGTTGCTGTGCCTATAAGGACGATGCTATGGGGTTGAGGGCTCGTGGATCGACGAAAGAAACAGGATCAAAAAGACCAGTTATGGGCACTTCAATAGCAGAGTGAAGTAAAATCACATAGTGTGGCCCATAGACATGGAAACCAAGATGAACAACTTCCAGTCAAACACCCGCTTATCATCCGTTGAGCCTGGTAGTTACTTTCGTGTGGTCTGACGACTTAGGGTCATCCTGTCCGCTTGTTACCAACACTTCGGCCAATACTCTAGAGGAGAGGAAAACTCTGACAACCGACTAGCCCGATCGATACTCCGGTCGATACTCTATTCCAGGTAGAGGGTAATCACCATTCTTTCAGCAATACGAAAAATGGTGCTCACCTAGATGTGCAAAAGTCACCTCGTAAGTAACGATCGTTCGTGTTCAGGCAGTTCGTTCGGATCATCACCGACTACAGTTCGAATTTCTGTTTAACTTCATTTGAACTTTGCAATGTGAGTGAATCATCAGCCAACCATGCTTATTCAGTCCAAGTTTCGTGTTTTTCCTAGTTGGCTTTGTGTCCTCAAATCGAGTGCAGTATCAGTGTGCCTTGTTTACTAAGTTCACTACTTTGGCTCTATCAGAATGCATCATGAATCTTCCGTTGGAATCAATGATGAGTAATACCGTACTGATCCAGACAGCATACAGAAAATCGATTCTGTTGAGCATTCGGCCAGTTTTCACAGACGACAACCATGCACTTGATGAGGAAACTATGGAACCGCACATTGTGTTAGCCACTAGTCCACTTTCCATGAACACAGGTGAATGACTTCTGGACTGAAGTTGACGAATCCCATCAATACGGAATCTCAGGTCCCTTCGCCCCAAGAATACCCCGTTGATCGATTGCTGTTAAAATGACAAGGAATGGGAATTGAACGCTTATGTCTACAAAGCTTTGGAAGTGAGCGTCAAGTGAATTGTAGCGATAAGTTTCCTGGTAAACAGTATCCGTTACTAGGAGAGGGCGATTCGCGCGCCGTATTACCATTTCGAACGATGTTATGAACCGTGGTGCGCATCATATGAGTAACAGTCCGGGACAGGCATATGTTCACTTGATGCCCGACAAGGATTTGTGTTGTGGTTCTAGCAACAGCGCTTTGAACGCTTAGGGTCTATCAGGTTTCCAGGATGAATATGACGGTATGAAACAGACCTGTCATTGAAAAGCAATACAGTCTGGCAATACAGTAGGCACTCATGTGCCATTGTAATCTCCGCTTGCTGGGGTGGAAAATCAATAAATACGCTCAATATATGTTTCAAATTACGGGCTCAAGATAAATATTACTGAAGGATGCCGCACTCATGGGATTATTCTAATTTAACCAATGCATGACCTTTTTTGAGGGGTTTAGTGTATATAAAGGAACTTCAAGACTAGACCATTGGGCTTTGTACTTCTTTCTTATACACCAGTCCCTGTATGTATAAGAGTTTTGGACCGAAAAATTGCTGACTTCTTAAAGAGTGGACTTCCCCCCTGGTCAATATTGGTATGTCCAACTTAGTTTTGGACTGAAAAATTTCTGACTTCTTAAAGAGTTGACTTCCCCCCTGGTCAATATTGGTAGTGTCCAACTTTCGCCTGGGGTTAGTATCGGTTAAACTTAATAAAAATCAGTTTGTTCCGTTGGTGGTTCTCTTTTCGTCGCCAACCGAGGCGACTTCATCAGAGCCCCCTGCAGTGGGGCTGCTTTTTGGCGGTTGTTCGATGAATAGTGGCTTTCATAAGTTCGTTTCAATTCTTTTGAAGGGAGTGAATTTCTCTTATGTTTGTTTGCTCCGGCGAGTGATCCTTTTGGTTCGATTCTCCCTTCGTGTTCTGATGGACGGATGTCCAAGTGACCTTTAAACTTGATCTCTTCTATTCCTACTCTGTCCCCTTTGGCGGTCTAGTCCCATGTTCGATCCGGAAAGTCTGTCGTCTGATGTACGACCACGTTTATGCCGCTCAATCCAGTTCGTGTTCTTTGCTCTCAGAGAGGATTTTCGGAAGCGTTCTACCCCAAAACGAATTCAGGTTGATGAGCTTTGAGAAGGTCCAAACTGATCGTGGGCTGTCAAAGAGTTTTCAGTGACTCTGTGAATAGTGTGTTCCGTCTTCAAGAAACCATACTGTGATATCTCGACTATCGTACCAACTGAAACATGAAGCCACCTTTGTGCAGCACTTTCAGTTGAGAAATATCATCAACGAGAGATTCAAATGGGATTCAGTAAATTCTTTCGTTAGAACCAAATTAGTATGTCAATGACCGTATTTCGCAAATTGCGTTCAGTTTGGGTTCAAATAGAATTTAAGGTTGATGGAAACTTGGGGATTGCGCTTACCTGAGGAGCTCCAGTAAGGGCGAAACCGGTCGTGGACTATCGAGGAGCTTTCAGTAACTTTACGAGTAGTGTTCTGTCATGAAATACTTACTATTTGTGCAGTCTGTTGCCATCGTGGGTCGTTCACATATGCCTGAAACTTTAGGTCACAAACCTGGCCATGTCCAAAAGCTGGCATCATAAAGCAGTGTAACTGGTTTTCGCGCTTCAAATACTTGCACATGGACAACCTATCATCTACCGCGGGTAAGAGGAAATTGACCCATATGTTCAAGTCCTGATTACCTAGCAAAGACGCATCTAAACACCAGAGTTAAGCCAGAACTCGTGAAATCCTATGCTTTTTGAATAAAATAAACGCTGTTCATCCTGGGCACTCGACAACAAACCAATAACTGACAGGTGTTCCACTCCAAGAGATAGATAACAGCTGTGTTTGACATGCTGGGCAGAATTCAACCCTATAAAATACGATGGTTTGTTGAGAAAATACGACGTGCAACCGATGTCCCGGATAATTTCACTGATTCTCCAGCTAGCTGGACTGTCGCTGGTGCGGTGCACTGCGCAAAACACTCCCTTTCAATACCATCTGGACATCAGAGGCTCTGAGGTGCTATACCGATTGGAATGGAACGTCTCACAAGACCAAAAGCGGTTGGCTTTTCGAACGTGTTTGAAGAGCGATCGCCTGAGAGAAGTCTCGGTACTTGGAGTTGGATTTGGTCCGTACGATGAACCGAGTAATTTGGACCTTGTGATGACCATGATTCCGTACGAGAACACTCCAGTGTTTGTAGTGAGTTTGTTTGCAAAGTATTCTCTGTTGTGTTTGCACTGTTAACCTTGGCCTACATCGGTCAGCCCACCAACAGGGAAAATTTCTTGGGGGATGCAAACCAAGTTACTTTAGAGGAAAGCTTTCTTCTAGCTACCACAGCTAACTTGACGACAGGCAGTGATTTGAGACGGGAAATACCAAGAGATGGAAGTTGGTTGGGGTAAGACATCAAGAAGTTGAATAAACAAGAAAAGTTGCAACAGAGTGAGTGTTCCGGAAAACCCCAGCATGTCCTAAAACGACGTACTTTGCCAGTCTTTGGATTCGAAGCAGTTCTTAGCCATGTTTGTCATTTGGACCAAAATAGCTTATCATCTATCCGCCTTTTTACTAGGATGCCACACTACTTACATGGTCGCTGAAAACAGTCCAACAGTAGTCTCACCCTTCTTAAGAGTATGTAGGCAGGCGGAGTCCCCACGTCAACATTATGGTCAAGGATTTTTATTTATGAGAGTCAGTTCTTAATCAAGAATGAACCCGATGACGAATTCGTTAGGGGTGGACAGACTACAGAGGAATGCTACAGAAGGCATCGGACGAAGTACTTTGGATGGAAAATATGTAATAGTGTGTGCTTGGTTCTTTGGAACATGTTTGGGGCGTGTGTGTGTTCCTATCCCCCTTGTCCGTATTGTCCATACTTGAACCAACTATTAGTTAAAAACACCATAAAAGAGTGTTTTAGCTGCTTTCCAGGAGAGTCTACCGTCAGAACTAAATTGGTATGCAAACGGGTGCATTTCGCCAATATTAGTTAGTTATTCCAGGCAACCTTCCTCAACAACGTACACCTGCACTAAGGACCATGTCATCGAAAAAAGTGTTTTTTAGCCTTAAATGAATTTTTAGATGCATCAGCAGCTGATTCGGTACCTGACGTCTCTTTCTTGCACCTTTGTCGTTTTTTCCTTCGCCCTTAAGTTTCTCAAGTTCCTCAAAGTAGCCGCCGGTTTCTAGGTCATTAAGATTCCTTTCGGCATCTGATGTACGGAGGTACTATCGGTCGAACTGTTTGATTTTGTTGTCCCTCTTGCTCTCGGGAGATCTTATTTCAAGCTTCTGATGAAATTTTTGGAATATCCGTTGTTTTGAAATACATATTAGAGTTGGTCTTCGCCTCTTCGTCTGAGTTCTGCCGCAGTGCAGTGCGCCTCTGCTCTCTTGAACATTTCGAATACAGCCTTTCGGAAATCATCCAGCCCTTTTATTGTACGTTCTAATTCGGCTGTCAGCTACTTCATTCGCTAACTTATATTGAGTTACCGGTAGTGAAACAATGGATCGAACTTGTGGAATCAACAGGATTGGTTGACTCATGTTGCAGTCGGAACGATAGTTTTACTTCCTCCTGGTACTATGGCGAGGCCGGTTATCTGCCTCGCGCCCCAGCTGTACCTGCAGCTCAGCGGAAGCTATTGGTCATTTGGCTGCGTCGGGCCAGGGTGCCTGTCTGAGACGGTATGACATCTGATCCAGCTCAGGTGGACTATCTGTGAGCACTTCCGAGACAAGGTGACACTTTGGGTGGCATGACTCAATTGCATTGGTGAAGCGTCAGCGACAGGACGATGAATTTACGTCTGTCGCATATGCACATGCTCGAGGAAGGGGCGTGATCGACGGCGCGACTAAGTGTGAATATCGCCTGTTTGCGCTCGTTGCTGAGTCGGTATAAAATCTGATCCAGCCCAGGTGATCTAAAACAAAGTGACACTTTGGGTGGCATGACTCAGTTGCATGGGTGCAGCGTCGGTGACAGGATGATAGCTTCAGGTCTGTCGCATAGCCACATGTCCGAGAAGGGGGTATGGTCGACAGCGTGTTCCATACGCGAGTATGTACGTGTGAACATCGCCACTAATGGGATGACAGGGAAAGTGGGCTAGCAGGTGGAATTTTTTGGAGGCGCACAAAGTGCGGTCTTGGGAGGGGTGGTCAGTGCCAGTACTCAGCCAGTACCAAGAATAGATGATAAAACAACGAGTCTTCCTTCTATTGCTTTGCCGTACTAAAGCCTAGGAGTTTCATGTTCAGTGTATCGTTGCGTTGCTTCTTTTGCGCCAGAGCGGTACTTTCTATTTCGCTAGGGCGAGTGGCTCCAGCGCAGCCAACAACCACAAATTTCACGCCATTGTTAGATTGCTCGTCTGTTGCTACTGCGTTGGCATTGTTTCTAATGTATCCCCTCGAGTCGCATGCCTGTCTGATAAAGCTACGCACCTTCGGTATACTGATCCACATAATTGGTTCAAATTTTCACGAGGTGTGCATGCTCTTGGGCAGCTGAGTGGCGGTAACCACATGACGATTGCGACACCAGATACCTTTCTAGCTGCTCCTGGCAGACTGCAGAGTGAATCGAAACCTGGTGGAGAACAAAGATCGCAGAAGTAAAGATATCGTGGGCAGTCGGTCGTAAAAGAAGTGGACTGATGACAAGAAAATTCATCTGGCACGTCATCAGATCTCCAGTACGTGTTGCTGAAAACTCTTCGACAGCCCACGACCGGTTTTGCCCTTCTTGGGGCTCATCAGGTAGGCTCAATTAGGCTCATCAAGTAGAACATAAGGTTGACGGAAACTTGGGGACTGCGCCTACCTGATGAGCCCCAAAAAGGGCGAAACCGGTCCTGGGCTGCCGAAGAGTTTTCAGCAACCTTGTGAGTAGTTTCCGTTGTGAAAGTAGTTCCAGCCTTGTTTCGACAGTAGTGTATAAAATCATATGTAGATTTATAGAGTTGGTAGATAGTTTGTCAGGGACCTCTTCGAAAGAACCTATCCGATGGATTTTCTATAAAGTCAACGCGTTGGTGATGACCCATTGATGAATGCAGAGAATCATCCGTTCACAATGACAAAGGCATGGAGTGGAACGTATAATGGCTTAATTGGAACAGGCGTATGGAACCTACCAAGTCACGATTGTTTCTATACTACTGGGAATTTCAGTGAGTTTCTTTAGGTCAGAAATGTGTGATCACTGTGCGTAAGAACGATGACCGGTTCCTTGAACATTTTAAATCAACTCTTGCCAGGTTCAAAAGGGTTAATACCCTCCTTCTTCTGAAAGGTACCGATTGTACCTTCATCCTCCACACACACACACACTTCGAAGATAGCCACTTAGTCTGGATTCACCCAGCTCGTGGTCAGAATAGTGTGTCTCTTGTTCTTTTTCTTTCTCTATGAATCTCTAAATCGAGTATCATGCTTCACCAGTTTTTCCCGTGTTGGTACTCAAAAATCAGAAGATTTTGAATACCCGAGGACTGTAGTGCGTCGTAAGGAGACTGGACCTAATTGTGATGTTGTGATCCATTGAGCTCTACAGGAGGTGGAATTTACTGCCCATAGAGGTTCTCATAACAGGCTGGTTAATAGATTGAGCTCTGGTCAAATTGTTTTCCTGATCCACTAGGTTGAGAATTGGAACACGTACGATGACTTGTCTCTTGAAAACTTACTATATTAGTAAGGAGACTGGACCTAATTGTGATGTTGTGATCCATTGAGCTCTACAGGAGGTGGAATTTACTGCCCATAGAGGTTCTCATAACAGGCTGGTTAATAGATTGAGCTCTAGTCAAATTGTTTTCCTGATCCACCAGGTTGATAATTGGAACATGTACGATGACCTGTCCCCTGTATTATAGTATTAGTATTAGTATTGTGTTGGCACAATCCCACTGCCTTTCGGTCAGGTTTAGGAACCAAAGTTTCGGTTAGGGGCCCTAATGGCTCTCCTTTTTAAGTGTGGGCACCCTGAAAGTATCCCAGCCCCACGTACAACCATGAACTTCACACTTCATTTCACGTCTGCGTTTGCGTGCTGCTATCAGCCGGGTCACCTTATTTGGAACATACGGAATGGTGAGTAAGCTAACACTATCCTCCAGAAAGTGCGGTTTCTCGAACTATCCCTTGCAATTCAGAGAGAAGCATTGGAGGTTGTGAGGATCTCACTAATTATATCATTCTAAAGGAAGTGTGTCTGAAAAATCTCAAAGGCCTTAAGCACCTTCGGTGATTTGTGTTACTTTCGTCCTAAAAAAGACATGATTAGATGGCAGAAGTTGAGTGTGTCAGTGGACAGTAAGTACTGTTTTTATGTTATTGCTAGAAATGGCCTTTGCAAGCAGAGTATTTGAGACATCTTCGAGTTTTCGATCATCGATGCCTCAAAACTGGTGCCAGTATTAGAGGAGGTGACGTCAAATTTATGGCGAGGTAATTGGAAAACGGATATCTGGTCATGCAGCAGGTGTCTCATTCACGGAGAACCTTCAGGATCGTTGGATGGGATAGATCGTCCATGAGCTATGCATTCGAAATTTTTGTTTATGAAGAGCGGGGTTGTCTTTAGCGCTTCCTTTGGAATGGCGCAGTGTGAGAGTTAGCAGAAGGGTACGAAAGGGGAAACGAATCGTTTTATGAAGTTGATGCGGTCCGGCTTTCAAGATCTGGTCCCCGTGTCTCCTCTGTACGTGGCTGAAGAGTGTGAGGAATGACGGTTACCCGATGTCACTGACATTCATGCAGTCAGTTTCTTTCCAACTTGTCCGACTGGACTCCTGAAGATGAATGAATGCATCTGAGAGGTTTGTCTAAGCTAGCACCATGTTCCTTCTCTTTCTTTTTTCACAATGAAGTTTTAAGTAAAGTGAACCCTGTAGTTTTACGGCCCTGTTAACATCGATGTTGTCCTCTCTAAACTAATTCCATTCGGCTGTCACTTTCCTCAAAAATAGCTCCATATAGATAGACAACCGGCACAAGTAAAAACGCCCACCACAAATTGAATATGTCACTTTATGTAGACGTAAGACATTAATCATAAGGTTGCTGAAAACTCTTCGACATCCCACGACCGGTTTCGTCCATCTCAGGGCTCATCAGGTAAGCACAGTCCCCGTCAACCTTATGTTCTACTTGAACCCGAATTGGACAGATTTCGACATATACACTTCATTTGCATATCGAACTAATTTTGACGGAGACTCACCTGAAACCCAGGTTAGTAAAATCACAAACGACAGATTCAGCTGCGTTCAAGGTGAGTTTCTTGTCAAAACCAAATTGATATGCAAAGGGGTGTCGATGTTGTCCTCTCTAAATACAATATTAGTAATAATAATAATAATAACAGTGATGCTGCTACCACTGCTGATGATGAACATCGCCCACCACAAATTGAATATGTCACTTTATGTAGACGTAAGACATTAATCATAAGGTTGCTGAAAACTCTTCGACATCCCACGACCGGTTTCGTCCATCTCAGGGCTCATCAGGTAAGCACAGTCCCCGTCAACCTTATGTTCTACTTGAATCCGAATTGGACAGATTTCGACATATACACTTCATTTGCATATCGAACTAATTTTGACGGAGACTCACATGAAACCCAGGTTAGTAAAATCACAAACGACAGATTCAGCTGCGTTCAAGGTGAGTTTCTTGTCAAAACCAAATTGATATGCAAAGGGGTGTATTTGTTAGACCATTTCACTTTCATTTTATGGTATCCGGAGTTCAAGTTATTTACCTCATTCAGCCAATAAGGCGTACCATCTGAAAGGTGTCTTTCAAGCTCTTGATATGGTAAATTATTTCGCGTCAACATCGAGTACGCTCTTAAAGGCGAGATACTTGTCAGTANTGCGTTCAAGGTGAGTTTCTTGTCGAAACCAAGTTGATATGCAAAGGGGTGTATTTGTCAGACCATTTCACTTTCATTTTATGGTATCCGGAGTCCAAGTTATTTACCTCATTCAGCCAATAAGGCGTACCATCTGAAAGGCGTCTTTCAAGCTCTTGATATGGTAAATTATTTCGCGTCAACATCGAGTACGCTCTTAAAGGCGAGATAATTGTCAGTATCTTCAGTATCTCAGTAGCTTTTTCACCGCCCTTCCTCATTTAAAAACAATAGTTCCTGGTTCTTTTCAAAAGGGAGGGGGAGTTGACTCAGTGGCTACAGAATGAATTTACTGAACGCAAGGTCCGTGGTTCGAACCCAACCTCTGCATTTCGATTCCCCCTGTCTAGGCTTGAGCAACCTGGCAGCATCCCGTGCTTCCTTCGGGTGGCGTGTCATCTGGGCATCGAAAGGGTGTTTACAGTTCGACGCTTATTATTTATTGTTATTATGCTTCGTCTGATGGCATGTGATGAATGCGAATAAATTTCACAGAGTGCAAGAATAAGACATACTTGGTTGTCGATTTGTTCGCCGAGCTTCGTAGCTGGACTTTCATCACCACTCGGGGTCACATCGTCAATGCGGACCAGCACAACCCCGCACTGACGGTATCGCACCGACTGATGATGCAAGTTCTACAATCCAACTGCCAAGCTGGGCGAACAGATCAACAACCAAGCAATGCACCCAAGCTACCTATATTCCGCCAATAAGCCATACACTTGCTCATCCATCTCATGACTATTCCTTAGTTCGTTCCTCAGTTCTATCAATGTTTGCAACATTTCGCTCTTTTTCTGCTGAACAGAAAGGATTTACCGACGATGAACGTGTCATCCAGCTAGAGTCTGCAGTGAAACATGACAACTCTGGATTTTATTGGGAAACACCCGATCGAAATCGATTTTGCTTCGGTTTCGAACGACAGGCCCTGTCGTGTTCTCGACATGGCTATTCGATTGACGTGAGTTCCAGATTTTTGGATAGAATAAAACTATTTCTAAATATGGTGTGTTCCCTAGGAGAAATCCTACTTTGAGTTATTGTCAATAAGCGTCAAAATTCCCAGAACACACGCAGAAGTATTTTCTTCCATTCGTTGATATACTTTGATTGTCATAGCTTTTAATTTTAGTTAACGCCACAGGTTCCACAGATTTTTCGCAAGTTTTGAATATACCAGGCGAATAGAGATAGAAGTTCGAAGGTGTAACTTTCCCTATCTCCCACTCTCCAGTTTTACCGGATTCATCCAATTTAGTGTCTCTGGCTTTACCGAGATCACATACACTCGTATCACGTAGGTTTTTAAACAAGTTTATTTATTTCGCTCATTTGTTGAGCACAGTGATGACACCGCAAGAATCCGCCAAGACGGAATCTTTTTCTTGCGATTAGCTGAAAAACTCGAAGTTGCCGGTGACCTTGGCCACAATACCATGATGGTGCAGGCCAAAAGTACGGAGAAGTTTTCCGCCCAAGTCGAGCCCATAGCAGCTTCGTGCTCTTGAATGGGTCAAGTTTTAGCATGAAGAATGTGAGGTAGCGCAGAAATCTGCTCTGTGGCGAAACTGGATGAAGAGAGCGAGCAGACCTATTACAGCCACCAGTGTGCTTTCTGACCAGAAGTCCAGGACGATTCCAGAGATTCCACTGCACTCGAGGACAGGTTTCAGTTGCCCAACTATGAGTCAGTAATTTTTCTGACGGAAACTACTCACAAGGTCGCTGACAACTCTTCGACAGTAACTTTACCCGAAATGTTTTGAAGCATGACAGAGGAACAGTGAATCCAATAAAGTATGTTACTGGGTCGTCTCTTGAGGAGTCAGGCGATCCGCTCGAACATGTTCACCTGTTCAGACGTAAAAATCCAGCTGCGTCCACCGTGCGCTAGTGGAGTGGTAGTAACACGCTCGTTCAAACCCCGGCACAGTCAAGGATGTAAACAGATGATTAGCTCTAATATGAGCGAAACTCCGGTCCAGTGCTTCCCCCATTTTGTATGGACTTAACAGATTGAATGCGCCAGGATGAGTTTCGTAAGTGTCCATTCTACAAATCCCGCAACCGTCAACAACTAAAATCTTTTTGGATAAAATCTCATCGGCTGGGGTGTTTTTCATGGAAGCCTTGGCAGAGCAATGCCTTGAAAGCAGTTCTGCGAATTAACAGGCCCCATTTGCTTTGACTACGAATAATTTCGTTCATCGAAGATATTACACGCAACTGCGGAGTGATTCGTCCACGTAACTATGCCTTTTAGCCTGATTAACACCTGGTGTCACTGAACCCTCGACGTCGGACTATAATTGCCGCTGCTGACACATTAGGTTGATGTGGAATCAAGTTTCGGATAATTGTTTGCGAGACGCATGCAAATTATGTTACCACACGGTAGCACTGAGGTGCCCTAGACCGAACAAAACTCGGCAGATAATTTTGTAGTGCACTGCTCATAAGGTTGCTGAAAACTCCTCGGTAGATCTATTGTATGTCCTGTGTCTAATGCATGTAGTGCCATCCCCGAGTCTCTGATCAGCGTTCGGTACTCTTCCGCCTTTCTTGGTGGTTTGTTTGTCCTCCTTTTATGATCACCAATTCTGGTCAGCAACCTTATGAGTAGTGCATTACGAATATACATGTATCGCGATATCTCGAATATCGTAGCGACGAAAACATGAGGTGGCCTGGTGCAGCACATTCAGTTGCCTGGGCACATCACAAAACGAGAGATTTGGCTGGCTTCCACGTGAGTCTCTCGCAAAACCAAAATAGCTTGCCAAGGAGCGTAGTTCGCCAAAACTCGGCAGGTTTATATGCTTTTTAGTAGTAGGAATAACTTCATGTGGCTCATTCGTGCCTACTTTCATTATATTCATCCACAATGTCTCACACGTTGTCACATTGGAACAACCGCCCCCACTTGAGAGGTAATTATTTCAGTAGTAGGCTAAATCCGTGCTTATTTCCCGTTATTTACGGTTTTTAGACGTAAGTTGAGCAGATTTGCTTGAACTGGTTTTTAAATGAGGAGTTTGTGGAGACTCTCGAAAATGCATTAGACACCACCGTATATTCCTAGTTACCAGTTTCAGTGGAGAGGGATGAATGCTAGACTGTGATGAGTTTTCTGTTGGTTAATTCACTTATGTGCCGGTACACTCTCCCGTTTTCAGGACCAGACGACACGTTTGTTCCTGTTCCATCAGTTTGACACACTACGGAAGCTTCGAGAATTCTATTCCAGCAGGGGCCCAAGATTTACCGCCTGGCTTCATCGGAGCTCCAAACTACAAAATGAATTCGAAGGCTTTTGGTTGGGTGATAAAAAAGTCCAATTCTCAAGCATACCTCATTCACTTACTCGAGTTCAATTAATCAAGAGCCCATTGGAACAAGAGCTGCGGGAAACGTACAAGGGCTCACGGAATTTCGAACTGACAGTCAATGAAGTAAGTGGGGTTCGTTCTCCTTATTGTTATTATTGGTCCGGGAGTATTGTGAATGTAAATCATATATGAGAGGTGACGAATAACACATTCGCATACCAATTTGGTTTCGACGGGAGACTCAGCGGAAACGGAGCTGAATCTCTGATATTCTATAACTGAATGTGCCGCACGGCTGAACAGTTTTCAGCAACCATTGGGAATAGTACATCACATCTATATAATACATAGTGATATCTCGATTATAATACCAGCTGAAACATGAGGCTACCTGATGCAGGACATACCGTTAAAGAGTGATTCAGTGGGGTTTCGGTTGAGTCTCCTATGAAAACCAAATCTGTATACAAATGAGTTTATTTTTCAAATTTTGGATTCAAGTGGAACGTAAACTTGACGTCAAATCGAGGGTCGAACCTACCTGATGAACTCAGAGTGGAAGGGTAAAGCCAGTCGAAGAGTTTTCAGCAACCTGATGAGTAGTAAGTAACGTCCTGTATGAGAGTATACAACAACTTGGGGTAGTGAGAAGTTTCACTCTAAGGATGCGAAATTCTCGAAGTCCGTTTTTGGACAGTCATCCTCCTGTTTCACCTGTAATGCACTGCCCGTACTTGAACTCCGGACGTCGGACATCACGGGCGAGTGGGGTGTTACTATTAACCCAACAAATACCGAAAAAGATTGATTCTAGAGCGATTTGGGCTGCTAAACATCTCAAGTTGTTTAGACCGCCCGCCCGTCGATATACCTCAGTTATGTGACACTATGGGGACTTGAAACTTGACTAGTTGTGTAATTGCATGATTTTTTGTCCAATGCCCGGTGCCAAAAACAGGGTCACTGACACAACAGCTCAATTGCGAACAAACGTGAGCGTGCGAGTGCAAAAGTTACAACGGGGCACTTTTTGACATTGATCCAGGCTGTCTGATAGGCGTTTAGTGAACACCCGCCAACATCGATCGTGCTACAAAGGAATGTTTGAACGCTGATCACATTCGGGCGTGCTTGTGTGGCGTGCCTGAACACTCATCGGCTTTTGCTGAATTGATTGAATGATTGACTGGCCTGGATGCTTGCCGGCTTCTCTATTGAGATTTTGGTGGGGTTCTAGGGTCTGAGGTCTGAGGTCTAGGGCGTTCTGAGGTTACTTCCAGGAATCTGACCTTCCTGAATTCATCAGCAGTTCGCCTCTGTTTGAATAACACTCCATCTGACCTGTCTAGTCCAGCCCACATCTCAACAGGCTAGAACGTTTGAAAGTTACAAGACAGGATTATTTCACCGTGTATCCAACGTCCAGTTGATGAACTCTAATAAGAGAGTAACTCATATGCTGTTCTCCCTTCTTGGTGTGTACTAAATGGAATGATGGCACCAAGACCAATAGATATTGCAAACGTGAACTTTTACTACAAACTAAGATGGCAGACTTACCAAAGTACCCCTGAAAAGAATGAACCCCATCTAGAAGGAACGAAGAATTCTGCTTTGGAATCAATAATTTACCGCCTGATTTAACGGTCCGATACTAATGCCTCTCTGTGTGCATTTGCAAGGTTGAAATACCCAAAGAGGAAACAACTTACTGGTGCAAAACGGATCGGCTGCCGCAGTTTCACACCAAACAACATATTATCAGGGTGAGTTGTTGCTGGCTTCATAGATATTTCATGGATATTTTCATAGATATTACTAAGAACGTCTAGTTTAAGTTAGCTATGGAGGGAAGGCTTGTTAGGGGAGGAGGCTGAACATTTAGTGTATGAAATTACGGCAGAGGTACAGAATGGCGCTGTATCCTGGCTGAGTGCCAGTCATTCACAGTGCTGATCAACCGCTTGTGGCCGAACGGTCAGCCGGGAGATCGGGGTTTCGGGAGGCACATTAATGACAGTGTCCCTCGGTTTTTCAGCACAGATTCACTTCAATAGCAAGACGAAATCTCAGTTAAGAGTTACAAGACCCTTGTAGAGAGAGAACGTGCAAAGCCGTCGTCCAGAAACATGCTGTAACTTCATAATGCCGCTTACAAATCGATTACCTACGATATATTGTCATTTTGAAGGGGCGGACTGACGGATGGCTACAGTACGAGTCAAAACGATCTCCCAGTTCGGGCAGCGCTAGAAGTTGACAAGATCTTAGATACTTCAAAGTGAGGAGGATCGACAGACATCTGGAACAATCACCAAGGTTTCATCATCGTCACTTTTCACGTAATATTCTACTGGATAATGCTGTCTAGACTGAATAACGAGACCCTTTTATCAGCCTGGAGGTGACACACTTGGGGCGAAAAATCGAATGAAGGACGACACATTCAATGGATGCTACAATACATGGATGCCAGTTACATATAAGACCTTGAGCATGGGAGTCTAGAGTGCTGCTCGTCTGCCTTTTCGGTGAGTGTGGACCGTTTGAGGTTGCGCCAGATGACCTTGAGAGGCAGACCGCATTTAAAGAGACAGCCGAAATGTTGCTGGGTGAAGAAATCCCTGATTCTTAATGGGACCTGTTTGTTTTTGAAGTAAGAAGCCCTCCGAATCACGATTAGGATTATATGACTGAGGATGAGATTAGACGGTAATGGCTCTGAAACGTATTTTCTCATCCACCATTTTTGTGCTATCAGTACTGTAATCTTAACTTGGAAGTACGTCCGAGGGTTTAAGCAAATGCATTGGAATTTCAGGGAATTGTCTACGCTTGAACTGCACAAGAATACCCATGGTTGCGATCAGTTTGATTTTTTTGTGCAGACATAACAAACCTTTGTGTTTCAATCCTTAAAACGTCAAAATGTGTATGACCACCTATTCCAGCTGCATTTTACTGATGGTGGTTGACAGTTATTACTACACTCAACACAGCCTTCGTCAAAGATTAGTTCAACATTCGTCGACACGTCGACACATCCGCTACTTTCACGAAAGATGTAGAAAGTCTAGCGTAAGTTGGTGAAGATCAGCGATACTTGTTTTAGAACAAGTTGGTTTTACAATTGTCCTCCTTGAGGGGAACTCTTGAGGGAACATCGTTCTGACTGGTCCCTTTACTTGTCACAGTCTTGCAGTCCGTTCAACTAAAAGTTCCTCAGAGTGACAAATATGTCCTTTTTTTAGAGAAGTAATACTTAAGCAAGCTGGACTCTTGCTTTTAGTCGTGTCCTGCTTACTTGGTTCTCGGTTCCATGTTGCAGTTCGAACCTGTGCTTTCAGAAAGTAGCAAAGGATTCGTTCATCATATGGAGGTTTTCCTCTGTACCGGTCCTAATCGTGTTGCTGAGTACAATGGACCTTGCAATTCCGAAGCCAAGCCAATGGGATTGCGTCAATGCCGTCAGGTGATCGCTGCCTGGGCTGTGGGAGCTACGGTAAGCCATTAAACGCTTCTATGCACTAGTTTGAGACGTTGGTCGAAACTTTGAAGTTGTCGTTTCCACTATCAGTAAATTCCTTGTAGGTATCTTTCGAAATACCACATGACATGCAAGAGTGAATACCAGTCAAAGTCTGCTGATAATATGAGAACCCAACGTTAGGGTTTTGATGAGTACCGTCCGAATATCAGGCGCTCATAAAGGGCAGAAGCCAATGGGGTTGGCGTGGATTCCGATTAAAAACTACTCACAAGGTTGCTGGAAACTCTTCAACAGTCCACGACCGGTTTCGCTCTTCTTGAGGCTCATCAGGTAGGTGCAGTCCTCGAGTGAGTTTCCGTCAACCTTATGTTCTACTTGAAACAGATTGACTTGCAAATGAGTGTATTTCCCGGAAACGGTCCAGGTTCAAGTAGAACATAAGGTTGACGGAAACTCGAGGATGCGCCTACCTGATGAGCCCCAAGAAGGGCGAAACCAGTCGTGGGCTGTTTGAGTGTTTTCAGCAACCTTGTGAGTAGTTTCCTTAATGAAAATGTACTGCGATATCTCGAATATCGTGCCAAATGAATCATGAAACTGTCTGTGTGCAGCACATTCATTTGTAGAATATCATAAACGAGAGATTCGGTTGAGTCTCTCGTGAAAACCAAATTGGTTTGCAAATCAGTGTATTTCTCGAATACAGTAAATGAATTTCACTCATTTGCATCGGAACCACACCTACCTTATGTTCCCCAGGAACCACGAAAGCTGGCTGTCGGAGTGCGCGTTATTTCAAGGTCACAATAAGTTTCGAGATCGAGCTGAGAACTTGCAACTTCAAATGTATTGCTCCCGGGTCTAGATCTCCTAGCAAAACAAGTCAGTTATGAAGAATTCAATTCATTCCAAAACTTGTCACAACATGATCTCTACTGGAGGGCACTTATGCAAATCTGAGCTGTGACGAAAGATTCTTAGTGATCTAAGGTACAGGTGGCTGATTACTTGATTAGCCGCTTGGTAGCTTGATTGCTTGTTTACTCAGCCGTCATATTCGGTGCACACACCGTTAGACAGACTAGCGGATCGACATTGAAATCACCAACGGAGCTTATCTTCCAGGTGTTGCGTTTTTGCTTCCTAAGAAATATGGGGGAAGTTTCCAGCAGGGAAGTATGTCAGTTGCTTTTCCGTGTCTTTGAAGACCGATGCGAACAGGCTTCGAAATTCCGCCTCTTACATTGTCCGTTCTCATTTTTACTCTCCACAGGGACTCAGTATGCCAAAAGAAGCAGGTATCGCAATTGGAGGGACAGGTGGGATTCAAGACGTTGTGCTCGAGATCCACTACGCTAACATGCATCAAGTCCAAGGTAAGCTGACCATCATCTCTATCTGATCCGCCAATTTTCTGAAAGACTGCAGACTTGTACGATCGAAACCCCAGCAGGGTTGGGTAATTAGAGTTGCGATGTATATGGTTGTGGAATGGACCTCATTACATTAAGGAATTCATTGCCTCTTTCAGTATGCCTCAGTATGTTCCTTTAACTAGAATGTGTATTTCGTCGAACGCAGTCACCTCCAAACTCATTTAATATAAACTTACGACTCAACACCAGGGCCGCCTAATGTTTCAGTCAGTAAGATATTCGAAACAGTGCAGTATATTTGGTTGGAAGAAACTCGGGAAATTCGCCTACCTGATGAACCCCTGGGAGGGAGAAACCGGCTGCGGACAGCGTAAGAGTTTTCATCAAACTTGTGAGTAATTTCCCTCAGAAGGATACTTATCTGCTCGAAGAGCATCTCAGTTCGCCCAAATTTCCGTCTAAATTGTGCGGTGGAATAGGACATGGGCGTATTTTAAAAGGCCAATACCGGCACACGCAGCTGCACTGGTCACTGCCGTCTCTCTGGATGGCCCCCGAGACTGGCCAAATTAATGGGTAGAGACATTTTCAGATATGACTCGGTCGGGCCCTCAGTGGTGTATCCAGGCTATTGCCTTCAATTAATACCTCCCCTCCAGATCTCCCAAAAGAAAAGTTCACTGACACAAATTATATGAACTACCGCCTCCAATGCGCAGCTAATTACCCCACCTCCCCAAACTATGGCGCCTATAACTACTGTATGACTTGTGAGTTGTTGTTACAGCTACTGATGATGATGACGATGATGCTGATGCTGATGATGATGTAAGCTAGTTCGTGGTGGTTCGACATGAAGGCAGACAACCATAATCGTTAGCAATCTTTCGTCTCAGTCATGGATTGCCTCATTTTCCTCATGGTGAGCTCATTCTTCCACCCCAGTATATGTGAAACTACAGTCTGAATCACAAGAGAACTGGAGTTTATGAATCTGTTCACCAAGCTTGGCAATTTTCTTGCAGACGTTCTATTGCAAGTCACGGGGACATCACTAGTATGCGATTTAGTGGGCTTCAGAGAGGAAATAAAGCTGTTGTCTTTTGGAGGTTTGTCGGTTGGCGCAATTCACCCACTGTACGAAGCTCTACCAAACATACCCAACCGCATACTGATCATGTCCCCACGGTTCGTGATGAAACATCTACAAGGCACGCGGCTCACGGCGTTTTTGACATATTTTGACATCTTGCCAAAAACTGTTGCCTAATGCTACGCATCCATGGGTTCAGTTTCTTACTCAGAATACCATAAAGTACACTGTGACATGAAACACATACGTTGTGTTTTCTCCAAACTACTGGTCTGGAGTTTTGTGAGGTGCGCATTGCTGATAATTTCCAATAAGGATAAAACAGTCGTACAATCATTAAGCATAGAATGGCTTCACTAACAGGACGAAATCTCCATTAAACATAGGTGTTCAATCATGGAGGTTGCGCCGGTGCTTCTCGTAAAACATACACAAGGCCTAAGTCTCCAAGATGTGGTTGTTGTTGTCTTTGGAATATGCGGTGACAGGTCAGGTTCAAATATTATCGGAAAAGTCTACTAGCAAGCAAAGTTTGTGCGAACTTTAGACAGGTCTTTCGTACCTATATGAACTGAAGTTCACTGAACGTCTTTGAACAACATTTACCAGTCATAAGGGACGATATGGCTCGCAAATTTGCTGATCGAAAGGTCTGTAGTCCAAACCCGACCTCTGCCTCCCGACTTCCCTTGTTTGGGCTTGGACAACCTGGCTGTATCCCAGCCCTCATACTTCCTTCGGGTGGCATGGCAGTTAGGCCCTGGAAAGGGTGCTACAGCTGAACGATCTTTCACCAGTCATAACTTGAAAAATATTGCTGAGTTTTCTGACTTGGCGCTTCTAATGAGAATCCGCATCACTTGGTCCACTATTCGGAATAAATTAGCGAATTTATCGAGTCCAATTTTAAACCTGAAGCAAGGAGTTCAGTTGTCACTGTAACACATACCATTGTTTCAAGCCTTAGGTCCACCGAGAAATCTAAAAACATCCATCATGATCATCATCATCATTGTCATCATCATCGTCGACAGCATGGCGTCAGTGTTCAACAGCGATGTTTCACTGCCATACAACCATGTGAAGTATAGATTAAAGGTGGACGGGTAGGAAGTAGTGCTGGCTTACTACAGTCATTCCGAGGTGTATACACCTTCAAATACTCAAACATCGGTTGGCAGACATATTTTGCAGCGTCTACTGTCAGGCGCAGTGAAGATCACGCGGTTCCCATCCTGGAAGATGAGTAGTACCGACGGCACCCGAACTTTTCTTGATTTCTTCCATGTCCCTTGCCAGATCAGGGGGTGGTATGGTAGTGCCTTGGGGTTTGTCACATTTCGAAGGGGATAGATTATTAGTGCACAGTGGGCGATAGCCATAATACAAATCAGAAGGTGTATGTGTGCACTAATAGAAGTTTTTAGTATTTCTGCGACACGTATAGAAATGAATACAATGCGAAATGGGAGCAAGTCAAAAAGGAACTCATCGTATGTGGGAGTTCCTTGGTGGAAGTCCGGACGGCGGTAACGTGTTTTCTCCGCAGTTTGGCTGCTACACGTGTTCCATGATTGTCCGTGGACTTGTGGAGAGGTTGACGTGCTCCTCCCTGCGCGCTAGCGAGTCTGTGTGTCTTGACTGG